ACGATCAATTCTCTGTACCATAATTTTATTACAACACTGTAGTTGAAGCAAAACAAGGATGAAGGATATGTCTCACCCTTCGGTTTCCTTCTCTTGTGATTACGACTGATCCCTCTAAGAGTAAGGAAACAATAAGGTAAGCTAGCAGTGCAATCATGGGGTACAGCCCTGTGAAAAATGGCATTGGGGATCAAGGCTTACAATATTTTGCTGGACACACTTTAACAGCGCAACTAACACTCTTTTACCCACCACAAATGCGACCTGGAGAAGTGCCCTTTGTCATACTTTAACAGACTTCGTTCTTATGCTTATGTTGCAGATGCTAAAAGGATAATGAAAAGCACTAAAGTGCAAACCCTTGGCGGAGACACGCATGCTCGCTAGAAAAGAGTTCCATGTCAAAGCAAAGTTGAAGACCGCCTATATACACAGTTTTCTGTGAAAGGCTGCGGACGAGGTAAGCATGCTACCAAGTGAGGCACATCTTTCGCTGTGCATCTGCCATGTTTAGCTCAACAATAGGGGATTAGAATATCTTGCGCATGCGCGAACGGATTATGCCAGGCACGAAACGCGTGCGGGGAAGTACGTGCATGTGTTGTACTGCTAATTGATGGGCTGGGTCATTTTACCTACTCAAGGTCTCATACCAGGTCGCTGAGAGTCAGTAACAGGCTAGCTACACAGCTACACATGTTATCTAGCTAGATAACATGCAAGAGTCGATACACGCCCCGCATTGCAACCTCTGGTGCCTCCAAGTTACGCAGAGCAAGCGTATCTCGGTGCCAGAGAGCGCACGTCTCGAGGTAAGCCCGTGATAATTTGCATATTAGCTCGTTCACTTGGTTTTCACGCCGTAACTCCCGAACAAAACCCCACATAATTTTTGACGTTTATCCGACGCTGAATACGTGGTATCGTTTGTGGAGCGATTGATTGCTCGTGAAAGGAGATAGCTTGCTGACAGACAGACTGACAACTACAATAATCCTCGCTATGCATGCACACCGAGGGTTAATGAGAGTGTGGTCATAATTATAATGAAAGGAAGTAAAATGCAAACCCTCAGTACAAAAAATTGTCTGAGTGATAAATTTTTCGCAAGAATCAAAAAATTATCTCAATACTGGAATTTGCTAAAAACAAAATGATGATACCAGCAGACATAAAATAAATGGTGTAAAACTTCATCAGCAAAATCTCTCTATAATATGGTGCTGAAGAGGTTTGACCCCTAGGCCTAATTAAAAGGACTTCAAACTGCAGAGCCCTCGCCGCTATAATTTTTAGATGCTTATTGTGAGCATCTGCCAGATGAAATAGACTAAAGAACAGGGTTAGAGTATTTGTAATGAAAAAACCCGTATGAGTCAGTTCAGATGGATGACCAACATAGCGAGCCAGTAATTATCGCAAGTGAGGTAATACATATCGGCCCTTGCCAGAAGAAGACACATCATTTAGATACTTCATCCGCTACTCCTCGTACGAGCGCAGTATTAGAACTGGCCGGACTGCGAACTTCATCAGATCACAATCTCCAATTATTCACACCGATCGCGTTGCCGTCCTGCAGTCATCTCCGCTCCAGAATCTTGCTGTATCGAGCATAGCTACTACCTACCACGATATCCAAGTTCCACCCTCAGACTTGCTTCGGCTACCGAGAAAAACAGTGGACAGACAGAAACACATACCTAATAACCCTCGCTGCGCATGCATGCAGGCGAGGGTTATTAGCGGAGTTGGAGGTCCTAACATCTTATCTTGATTAATGCCCGTGGACAGGGTCTTGGCGCATGTAGAGACACGAAAATGCATGTGTGTCAGTCATGAAAAACAAAATGGCGGACATGGCAGCGGTAAACAAAACGCATGCTATAACTTTTAGGTAAGCGTTATCAGCGAAAACAGCTTTTGTGTTTGTCCCTACCATACCTAATAATCTAGTGCTGTTTTGTGGCATATTATAGCGCGAGATGCAAGATGAAGCAGGGGCCAGATGAAGTCAACGTCTGTCGTAACAGCCATGTATCACCATAGGCACCTAATGCACTCAGGCACTAAAGCACCCCTAGGCACCATATGCACTTAGGCACTAAGAACCCAAGGCACCATATGCAGTCAGGCACTAAAAGGACCCAAAGTGTGTAAAAGAGTCTAATCAGAAGTTAAGCCCCGAAGGCAGCCGGCAACCAATTGAGATGGTAGTTACAACAATATAAATCCTACCTAAATGACATAGAGAGTCAAATGTCATGAGTCAGCTTCGACCGAGGAAAAAATCATTGTGTTCCACTAGTTTGCTACAGCCTTAGCATCAAGCAAGCAGTCCCTGGTCAGCCCAACCTGCAAACTTCTGTCTGTCCCATTTTATGCATGGGGCCGAGTGAGACAAACAGATGTCAACACAGCATGAAAGAACATACGGGAGAAGAGAACGAAGAAGCCAGCTCTTCGCATATTAAGCTGGAATGGCAGGACCATGTGCACTGGGCTGTCACCAGACTAGACCATATTGACGACTCCAACAAGACTGCAATTAATCAAATTTAGGTTGACATTGGCACACTCTGAGAAACACAACTTGTAGGCTGTGGTTCCTTCAAGGAGGAAAACTACACCTTCTTGCACCATGGCAAGAGACTAGAGAGTATGCTTCTCAGTTAAGAACACTGAACTTATCACAACTGAACAACCAGCAGGAGGCATCCTTGCCATTCACATATCCACAAGTAAAGCTGGCCAACTCAAACGGGTATGAGTTGACCGTGAATCCTGGCCTGAATGTCTAGGTCACGTTGGGGTGGGAAACATGAATGAGAAAAGGCAGGGAGTTGTGCTACAACTGTTACCAACATAACCGCTGTACAGCGTGGACACACCCCAGATCAAAATTTAGGTGACCTCATAATCACAACACAATTGGTGCTCAAACCTTTCACAAAACAGACCGCAACACTGACCACTCTCTCATCCTGTGCAAAGTCCAGCTACTGCCCAGGCAGATCAATCACATTAAGCAGAAAGCTTGTCTTCGAATCAATGCCAACCATCACCAACCCAGCAATCATTCAGCGCCCCCAGACGAAGCCCTGAGGTGCTTACGAGCAGAGTGCAGTGGACTATCTCCATGACTAAGTGCATGCAGTGTACAGCACGAAAAGTAAGGAGAAAAACAGACTGGTTTGAGGCAAATACATCCAGCTGGATCCAGAGAGAGAGATACTGCCAATCTTAGTACAAAACAAAGTTGCTCAGAAAACAGTCTCGGATCACCACACCCCACTCTGAGGGGTCCCTTCTACACCTATCCTCTTGTCGCTTGCATTTAACTTGCTATCAGATTTTAGCAACATCTTCATTTTGTCACCTCTTATAGAGGGTTTGATCTCACAATATTATTGCTTTTGAGCAGCATGCAGCATACACATTGCCCCTCTGCTACATACCACGTGAATGTGAGGCCAGTCTACACACATTATTTAACCTCCAGCCATCTTTCGGCATTGTTACCTATGCTGACAACCAGTCAGGTGTAAGATACATGTATTTCATGTTGAGCTATGTACATACTATGAGGGGAACTAAGTTCCATCTTGTGAAGATTGGGTGAAGATCCCCTGGACACCTCCCTGTATCCATACTAGTTTTCCCTCCCATCCTACTCTAATGGCCTCAACACATGATATTAGAGTACTGTAAATCCAGAAATGTTGGCGCACCATTAATATTGGCGAATTTGGCGAGGAGTAATTAAAACAACGCTAACAGGAAAACCTCCATGTGTGTATGCGTTAATAACTTTAATAATAGTATACTATGTAACAGCCAATACATTTGATCCATAGAGAATTTAACTATTTCACCGTAATACCCTTGGAAAATTGAAATACCCCCCAAAAATTTAAATTCCCCAGAAAATCGACCAATCAAATCAAGTGACTAGGAAATCAATGTGAAATACTTCATACAAGTTACAGCTCCAGAAACAAGTGTCGCGAAAGATCTTGTGAGCATGACTATAGCTAATCTATATAACACACTGATCACTATACACAGCACTATACTATTAACATGTGAATAGTGCAGTTTGGTGTGGATTAATAGTGATGGAATCGCCTCATACTATTTTGAAAAATTCCATCACTATTTATCGCCTCATACTATTTTGAAAAATTCCATCACTATTTATCCCTAATACCACACCAAACTGCACTATTACCTATACAAACGCAAAAATTAATGGACACCAAAAATGAGCTATTGGTGAAAGTGCAAAATGTCAACATTTCTGAATTTACAGTATACTATAGTGTTCTTCTTACCCATTAAAAACTCAGTGGAGCACTGAAGTAGGTCAGGGCCCTGTAGAAAATTAAAGACAGAGAAAATATATGAAACACATCGGATTAAACAAAGACAGTATGCAGATTTAGGAAGCCAAGCACATGTTTCAGAATGTAGCAAAGTTGCGACTTATGTACATCAAAAATGCATAAGTTGAGGCATCTAACTTCCCTTGTTACTTCTTATCACTAAGTACGGTAGTACTTACTATATGTGACCCGCTCTAGGAAAGGTACCATTTGGCGCAAAAATTCAAAATTGTGTTACACATATCGTTCGAAAGCGCAACGCAAGCTGCATACAACGATGAAAATCGCACCTTCGCAGCTGCTTCCGTTCGAGCGCTATACGCAATAACGTACGCACCCTGCCGCGGGCGTTATTTGGAGTAATTGCGTCATAAATTATATTTGCCAAAACCATCGAGTTTTTTGCTATAATTGCATAGCGGAAGATCTATATTTGTGCCGAAGGGTACCTTTTCCCAGAGCGGGTCACATATAGGGATGGGCATGGTACCCAGCATCATAGATGTATATGGAGCTATGATACTGAGTTTTGTTCATCTTCTTCTCCTTCTTCTTCAGATTGAACTCGCGTAACTCAAAACGAAGTAACATATAGTATTTAATAATGTAGATATCCGTCACCCAAAGAGGCTGTTCATACTTATTTGCTTGACAACAACAAATAACCAGGCAATATATTGTAATGGGATCACACGTGTCAGTGTAACTTGCAAATGGTATTAAAAGGTACGTGAACAAAACTTTGTACACATAATGGATAGTCACAGTACATGTTTGTAAACAACAACAACAAATAGCCTCAGGCACTTTTCTTTAAATTTACTTCTTCAGTCCTCAAACTTTTTAATGGTAGCACGCATAGAAGTGAAACTTGGTGTGGCATGGGTATTACATCGTTCCATGACAACTATAATTATGTTTCCATGACAACCACATTGTATTTTTTTAACAACGACAAATAGTCTTTTTCTTTAAAATCAGTTTTCACTCCTCAAACTTTCTCAACTTGGTACACATATGCGCATAACATCGTTTCCATGACAACCTGAACAACAACAAATAGCCTCAGGCACTTTTCTTTAAAATTACTTATTCCCTCCTCAAACTTGCTAACGGTAGCACTCATGGAGATGAAACTTGGAATGCATGCATATGACATCGTTTCCATGACGACCACATATTGTTTGAAATAGCTTCAGGTACACGGTGTGTATTAAATCATTTCCATGACTACAACAGGCATCTTATTAATTTTTAATAGGGGGTTTGCCCCCCTTCAAAGTGTACATATTTAAAAAAAGAGGATGGTATAAAAAGAAAGGGAGACAAGATAGGGATGGGACACATGAAGCATGGTTAAAGAACAGATTCAAGCATGCTGACACCCCGACCCCATCACACAATCCCTATATTGTTACCAAAAAAGTCATGCTATGAGTAACCAAGAGTACAAATGGAGTTTACAAGTGGCACACCAGGCAACAATATAGGGATTGTGTGATGGGGTCAGGGTGTCAGCGTGCTCAAATCTGTTCTTTAACCATGCTTCATGCATCCCATCCCTATCTTGTCTCCCTTTCGTTTTATACCATCCTAAATTCGCAGGAGTTTTGATTTACTTGTAAGATTAAGTTTTGAGTCATAAAATTTCTTGAGGATTGCCAAACTCTCCAGCAGTCATTAACGAGATGATTTGATGGAATAGCTCACCGGAACAAGAAACATTTTTGTTTTGAAATGGGAACACACCCTTCTTTCTCATTCTAACATTAATGTTGAGTGGCACTCTAATTGACTATTGTTCATGCTCACTGTACAATAAAATTATGTAAAAGACATGATTTACATCTGGAAAAAGTGGCCAACTTTATTAACCCTCGGCGCGCATGCACAGCGAGGGTTACTGTAGTTGGGTCTGCCTGTCTGTCTGTCTGTCTGTGTGTCTGTTACTCTCAATCTCACTTCTCGGGTGTTTGTTCGTCTCACAAGGGATATGACCTACTTAACGGGCAATGAAGGTCAGAATTTTCGAACGGTTTTCTCTGAAACTGCTCCGTTGCAAAGCTAGAGCGCGAAAAAGCCAATACGCAAATACACAACAGACGGGATGGCTTACCACAGTCGGATCGATCCGCATGCTCTGCGTACTTCGGAGGCACCAGAAGATGCAACACAGGGCGTGAATCGCCTCTCGCATGCTATAGTTAGCCCGCGTCAGACTCTGCGCGAGCTGGGAGAGACCACGAGAGACAGCTAAAACTAAACCCAGCCCATCACTTAGTGGTATGGCGCATGCGTTTACTTACGCGTGCGCGTCACAGTGCGCCGAGGGTTTGCACTTCAGTGCTTTTCATTAGAGCAGCTTCCATTACCAACCTAAAGATTTTGAATATCTTTTTTACATTATGTTAACTGTGGCACAATGGCAGTTGTTCAAAGGCAAATCGATCACACAGGATTGTACTGCAGACGTAACCTCTTAAACACGGCCATTTCATAGGTTCATGCATAATAAGGATAAGACTGAGAGAAGTTATTGATGAGGCTCATACAATAATTGCATGTCCTGTGTGCGTTCAGGTCACTCACATCTCAGAACAAGGGACCAAGAACTGTAAGAATGCATGAAATTATAGTGTATATCATACCAGCCATAGAGAGAGATATAAAAAACCACAACCACCTTATTTAGCTACACAAACTTCAAAAACCGTACAAAACATCTATAGGTTATACTGCGCGTCAATGGAAATACGCGATATAGACGGTACGAAGGGGCCCTGAGCTGCAGCTGTCTGAGCGTAGCGAAGACGCTACTAAGGGCTCCGAGGCCGTCTATATCGTGTATTTCCATTGACAAGCAGTATAACCCGTTTTGACGGAGGCCGTGCTGGCCGTCAAAATCGTCCAGGTCCGTCGTCTATAAAATATAGACGGTAGAAAAATAGAATTGGTAGAAAATTGGCATTGTAGAAAAATAGAATCTTGAGTAAAATAATGACTTACTTACTGTAGTGGTAAAACATACTAGAAAAATAGAATCTCGAATAAAACGACTTACCCACTGGAGCAACACTATCACAGTTTCAATTAGTGCCGCCCCACGTGGTGTACATAGTAATTCGTTAAAATTAGAAGTTAATGCAGTAGTCAGTGTGGAGCTTATGTTTGACAACTATGTGTGTACAAAACATCTAACAATCCCACGGGATCCCTATGTAAGAACGCAAATTGTTAAGTAAATACTGTAAAATGTGTGGAATGCGACTACACTTCAGAATGTTTTGGTACCTACATGTACTGTTAAATACTTTTCTATACACTTCTACTAGACGTCAAAATCAGACTGACCCACCTGTTCAAGCATGCAAAAATATATTCCGCAAACTGACTTTTAAAAGGTACTTTTAAAGGTTTAATGAGCTATTGTCAAACCATGTGGCGGTCTGGTGTGAAACTTAAAATTCTTGTGTTACTGCTAAACATACATTCATACTTGTGTGAGCAAGTCGATCTACATACCCGGTCCCCTAAAAAATACTTTACTCATAAAAAGTGTAACACCAAAGAAACCTACGTAGAAAGAAACACACCAATGGGCTCCATACAAAATATAGGGACGAAAACGGGCGACCATTATCACGCTGCATCTTCATGCATTTCCTACACAATAAAACAAGAATATGCCCTTACTTCCCAGCCTTCAATCTTGCTCTGCACACTGGAGATGATCTTCATTGATGTCTTATAACTTGGTTTTTGTACCAACACACCCAAGTCCTCCCTGGAGTTACATACATATACACCCAAATCTTACAGTACTACCAAGTACATATATACTGTAGCTTAGCTTCAAGTTAAAGTGCGCAAACCCTCGGCGAACTGCGCATGCGCGGTACCGCTAATTGATGGGTTGGGCTATCATAGCATGCATTAACTCGTGGTCTCCCGCTAGTAGCTCGCGGAGAGTCTGACACGTAGATAGCATGCGGGAGTCGATACACGCCCTTTGTTGTGACTTCTTGTGCCTTCAAGATATACACAGCGAGCGGACGCAGTCAAGGTAAGCCTGTACTAATTTGCAATTGGCTTGTTCACTTGCCATAACTTCTGAACGCGGCAGTTTTACGAAAATCGACATTTAAAAATAAAGCCAGTGTAGCGCTGAACCAGTTGGTGTCGCTTTTTTACCTGTTTGTTGCGCGTGGTGGCAGAAAACGTGGTAACAGACGGGCAGACAGACAAACCAAGTACTGTAACCGTCGCTGCGCATGCGCGCCGAGGGTTAACAACCATAAGGTGAGGCAGGCTTTATACATTCTCTGTGCCTTGCACAATTTTAAATGAAGTGGTTACTACGGCATTAGCGCATATTAACAATCTCCTACCTTATTACTACGGAGAGTTCGAAAGAACACCGTTACACGTATACCCAGTGCAAGAAAATCGTGCAGCAGTAGTGTGGATACTGTTGTGCATGCCCATGGCTACCAACTGAGCAGCAAGGGAGAATAGCGTGTCCAACCAAAGTTCAGGCTAGACGAGGATGCCATAAAAGTTTGCTCCTAAGGTTGCATTAATAATTCACGGGCAGATTTCCTTTTTTAATGTAAACAAAATGGCGAAATAAAACGAACGACCACACTTACAGTTCTTTAACATTTTAAAGAGGAGCAAATGTAGAGGAATGGTGTAATACAACAACATACATACTTTCTACTGGGCAGTAGCCCAGTGCATTGCTTCTCTAAGTTCATCTTGAGCCTCACCATACACCCTTCAGCCTGGTAGCAAAAAGGCAATCTCACAAATATTGTGAACCGAACAATAATATATAAACTACAATACACCAAGGTCGACACAGGTTCCTTAGTACTCAAGCCTTTCTATTCTTTACAGTAACGGGTTCTATTGCTTAGCACACATAAATGTCAGGTATTCACTCATAAAAGTATGTGGCATCACTTTCGATCTACCTACACAGATAACATAATATACTCATCAAGTTTCTTACAGCCTCATAAGCATCAAGATCTTCACCTTTGGATTTCCTCATCAACATCTGTTGAAAGTGTAGCTTGACTCCATGTAAACATCACGATATGACACTGCTACACACTTATACCAGACTTCACACACACACACTTATATCAATCCTGAGTTAAATTCATGCTTAAGTATGTGAATTTGGATGACCAAAAACTGGCTACTATAACACTGACACAAGTTTTACATGGCTATATTATATAGATCTGGAGATTTGACACACTGAATATCAACTCACATTCACAGCTTCAAAATAGTAAAAACAATGGTACAGGGGCTCCAACAGACTCTTCGGCAAAACATACTGAATAGCTTCTTTGAATAGGTCTGGCTCTGTAAGTGTCTATATACATATGCAAAGCAAACAGGAAAATGTCGTTTATGCTAAACAGTATACACACAAGGAAATCAATTCACTAAAACAATGTGCAAAGAACTGCAATAATTGTGAACACAACTTACATAAGCAAATGGAAAGGCTCATTATGTGGACGCTGAAGATCACCCCCCACCGACACCACTAGGAACTTCACAACTGACTGGTGAACTACTCACAATCATTCATTCATTGCTTAACCAAATAACTGGCAGGTCAGTTGAGGAACCAGACAATGGTTAGGCATCAGGACAGAACACATAGCACAACCACCTGCCACCCAGTGGTACTCGTGCACATGCAATAATTGCGTGTGACCATATATATATATATATATATATATATATATACACCGTTTAGGACCTTGTGGGAATTTGTGCGTGTGACACATGGACAGCATTTGTTAGTCTCCAGTGTCAAGATTACAAACACACTCACCTATCACATAACAAATGAAAAGCACTGAAGTGCAAACCCTCGGCGCATTGTGACGCGCACGCGTGAGTAAACGCATGCGCTGTATCACTAATTGATGGACTGGGTTTAGCTTAGCAGTTACTCGTGGTCTCTAGCCAGCTCGCGCAGAGTCTGACGCGGGCTAACTACACTACTAGACAGCATGCGAGAGGCGATACACGCCATGCGTTGCATCTTCTGGTGCCTCCGAGGCCGCAGAGCATGCTGATCGATCAGACCGCGGTAAGCCATCCGGTCCGTTGCGTATTTGCATATTGGCTTTTTCGTGTTCTAGCTTTGCAACGGAGCATTTTCAGAGAAAACCGCACATACGTTCTGACCTTCATTGGCTGTTGGGTAGGTTGTATCGTTTGTGAGGCGAACAAACACTCGAGAAGTGAGCTGTAGAGTAACGGACACAAAGACACACACACAGACCCAACTACTGTAACCCTCGCTGCGCATGCGCGCCGAGGGTTAACTACATAAAGCATTACACACTGTAACCCTACAGAGTTTATGTTTAATTGCTTAATGACAAAGACTGTGAAAAGAGTTTTAACATCCACAATAACTAAACACTATGCACAAACTGAGTAAGATTTGTATAACCTTAAGGTACTCTTTGGCCTCAGCATTCTCCAGTAGCTTTTGTAGAGCATTAACTGAATCACTGTAGGAATTTGCATAGTTGGCATACACATCAAACTCCTGAGACTGTAGATATAGATAACACATATAAAAATCACAAACTTTGCAATAATATTTACCTCGGCCATCTCTTCAAAGACAAAGCCTGCCTGTGGACTCTGGGGTTCACCATCAACAACTCCTGCCATCTCCATGCACTCATCTAGTGACGAAAGCAGCTGAACTGACAACGCATGAAGCTCTGGTAGGTGCAAAAAGACCTTCTTCACCTCCTACACACACAAAACACGCAAAAAGAGGCTATGGATAAAAACACACGATAAAGCAGAATGGCTGTTCTAGAGGTGTTCACGAGGGACAGTGAATGTTGCTGACGGTAGCAAGGAAGTCATTGAGGCCACAAATACGTACCACAAGCGTGGCTTTCCACCACCAAAACAATCCAGATATTTAGGGCAAATGAGTAATTGTAGCAAAATCGTTCTGTTCATTGACACATACTGACACTATTTCATTTTTAAGTATAAACCATTGCCCGGTGTCGCTTTACTAACAAAATTTTTAACCCCAAACTTGCCTCAGGTGGAAATAGTTTGGGTTTATCAGTAAAGGGCTCCTGGTAAACCTTGAGGATGAGGTTAAGATGGCTGATATACTTCTCTTCATTGCTTACAAGTTGCCGCACCAATTGGTCATAGGTTGCAGCTTGTTCATTCTCCTCACATGCCTAACAATGTAAACAATGTAATTTGTTGTACAGTAAAATGATACAGCAAGCTAGGGGCTAAGTGTAACATCTACTAGACTAGACGATTGGCCTGTAGACTAAAGGCCACTGTGGGAGAAAAATAGCTCTTCGGCCATTGGGTTCTTCACATTTTGGCAACCAGGTGAGAAGAGCTTTTCGGGTGTTTGTGGGCGTGTAACAAGTCTGGTACGTGTTTATGAAGGTAAAAAGCCTGAGAGGTAATGTTGTTATGCATCAAACTAGACGATGGAGCGGTGTTGTAACTCTCCTAGTAGATGGCAGTTCAGATGGAAGTTAGTGTCGTCAGAAGTGGTGCTGGTTGTGGGCAAGCAGCTGTCTTTGTAGACGATTCCTACATCAAACTGGCAGAGTTACAAGTCGGTACTCATCTGCGTGCCATGTACTCCTGGACAGCAAAAAAGCGTGATCTGGACGGTGTGTGGTGACACACATGCATATAGCAATGCAAGGTATCAAAAGCTGGGAAGAGGCATAAGTTTGCTTCAAAGTCTAATTGCTGCACATACACATACTGTTGGCGCTTAGACGTGTATCATCTCATCACTCGTCAATATAGTAAATTGTAAATTTTCGTATATTTAGAGAGACTATGGTGTTGTGTGTGTGAGTGCCTGCCGCTATCAAATCGGTGCGAATCCAGAGCTGGCTCGTTCATATAATGGTCCTTCGAGCCGGATAAGAGAGAGAAACAGTATCTTTCGTTGGTCAGCCTCTTGATAACTCGCGGACTTCGCTCGTCTCAGAGTTCGGTCCAGCGCGTGTGTTTCTATTTACCGCCCAACATTCGTTGCTCATCTGTTATGTCGTCTCCGATCTCCAAGCTACGAAAAAGGAGAGGTGTCGTGTGTGCGTCGATAACTCGCCTCGGAACCCGCCTCAAGGAGCTGGAAGATGCAGCGCCCAAACCCGACACGCCCACGCACGCCCGACAGCTGTTGGAAAAGCTCAAATCTTTCGACAAGGAGTTCAGGGGACTTCACTACAAGGTAATCGACCTGATTGATGACGGAAGTGAAGACACCGTAGAAGCTGAACAAGTAGTTTTGGACAAGCACGACGACGACGTTGCTGCACTCACTGTTCGTCTGGAATCTCTCTCTGTCGTCGCCGTCAGCTCCACAGCAGACACACGTAGACCTCTCTCACGCAGACTCTCTAGCCTACAGACTAGTTCGAAGAGAATTCGTGACATCATTCATGACGCTCCTGTCGAACATGCAGTTCTGACGAAGTGTCAGGAGGAAGTGAGCGATTACAAGAAGGATCTCGCAACCGTCTATAACGACCTCATATCACATGACATAGATGAAAGTGACGAACTGTCGGTCGCACATTCCGCATTGGAACTTGAACTATCCGAAGTAGCCTCTAAACTCAAAGGATTGTTGGCACCCGCCCCGGGGTATACCCCTGGAGCCCATACTGCATCAGAAACCACTGGAGTCAGGCTCCCCAAGCTAGATGTTCCGATTTTCGACGGTAACATCATTCACTGGACGCAGTTTTAGGAGCAATTCGCTATCTCCGTGCACGACCGAACGAATCTCTCGAACGCAAGAGAAGATCGTCTACCTGCAGCACGCACTGAAGGACGGATCGGCTAGAAGCGCAATAGAAGGTCTCTCGAGTTCAGGTGACAACTACGACGAAGCCGTCAAATGTCTGAAATCGCGATTCGATAGATCCCGCCTCATCCACCGTACGCATGTTCAGATGATCGTAGACACCCCGGCCTTAAAAGAGGGCAATGGGAAGGAGCTGCGACGATTACATGATGACATACAACAGCAAGTCCGTGCATTGAAGACCTTGGGGTGTGAACTTCCAGGCCAATTCATCACTTCCATGATCGAACTGAAATTGGACACTGGAACACTCTTCGAGTGGCAAAAGCACAGCCAGTTGTCTGCAGACGTGCCTCCCTATGAAGAATTACTAGGCTTCATTGACCTGCGAGCACAAGCCTCGGAAACTTCGTGTCCAATGCATAGGAAGAAGCCTTCAAGCAAAATCACTTCCTTCACCACCAACACTACGACCTCCAGCAATTGCGTTGTCTGCAAAACCGAGAAGCATCCCCTCTACACTTGCGCCAAATTCAAGTCTCTCTCGCACGACGAGAAGATATCCGTACTGAAGACAAACAACCTGTGCTCCAACTGCCTTTCCAGTGGTCACTTCAAGAAGCAGTGTAGATCGATTCATAAATGCAAGGTTTGCCAGAAGCCACACCACACTTTTCTGCATGTCGACCAACAAACTAGTCCCAAGTTTAGTGGATCAACAGGGAGCAAGGACACTACTCATGTCTCATCCAACGCTGCCATGAAGTTGAGGTCCAACGCGTTACTCATGACATGTCGCGTGTCTGTCCTCGCACAAGATGGTTCATTTGTGGAAGCCAGAGCACTGCTCGACAATGCCTCGTCCGCCTCGTTCGTTTCCAAACGTTTAGTACAGTCTCTCTCCCTGCCTCGTTTCAATCAACACGTCAGGGTGTCGGGTATCGGTGATATCTCACAAAGAGCACCAATTCAGTCAATCTCAAGTTTCCAGATTTCACCTGTCGGACCTAACAAAAGAAAGATAGGAGTATCCGCTGTCATTGTTCCAAAGGTCACGTGTGACCTACCACTCACTCCTGTACCGTTCCAACTGACTTGGAAGCACATCTCTGATCTTCCTCTAGCTGACCTAGGGTTCGGACAACCCGGCCGCATTGACATTCTCCTTGGAGTTGACGTGTTCGTTGATGTGCTACGTCATGGCCGGCGGAGCGGTCCTCCTGGATCTCCTACTGCCCTTGAGACCGAATTCAGATGGGTGCTCTGTGGTGGTTCTGGATCATCTTCAGATTCCTTCAATCATGCGAGTGTCACCTCTCTTCACAGTTTCATCACGTCTGGGGATGACATCCTCCGACGCTTCTGGGAGATTGAGGAGGCCCCTCCTGATCAGTCAGCCCTCTCAATGGAGGAATGAATGGTAGTTCGCCACTTCGAAACAAGCCATTCACGATCACCCGATGGAAAATTCATAGTTCCCCTACCCCAAGACCCTTCTGCGAAGTCAATCGGTGAATCCAGGTCACAGGCTGTTAGAAGATTTCTATCACTGGAGCGTTCTCTGAATGCAAAGGGCCGTTTCAAGAAGCTCGATGATGTCATACAAGAGTATTTCGACTTGGGACATGCTGAGGAGGTCCTAACGGCGGATATGGAGAAGCCAATTGAAGAAACCTTCTATCTACCGATACACGCCGTGTACAAGGACGCGAGTACTACTACCAAGGTCAGGGCAGTGTTTGATGCCTCAGCCAAATTGTCCACTGGAGTCTCATTGAACGATACACTTCTCGTCGGTCCCACCATTCATCCACCACTTATTGATGTGCTACTACTCTTCCGCTCGTACCTTGGCACGCTGACTGCAGACGTCAGTAAGATGTACCGAGCCGTGAAACTGACAGAAAGTGATCGGGATCTACACAGTTTCGTATGGAGATCCGACTCGAATGCTCTACTGAAGGACTACCGTATGACCCGAGTGACGTTTGGAGTATTGGCATCTTCATTTGCAGCCAATATGGCTGTGAAACAAAACGCAACCGAGTACGCGCAGGAGTTCCCGCTAGCAGCAGATGTTATACGGAAATGCTTCTATGTCGACGACTGTTTGACAGGTGCCGATGACCCAAATTCTGCACTGATCTTGCAACAGTAATTAGCAGACCTGTTCGCTCACGGTGGTTTCCTACTCAGGAAATGGAACTCTAGTGATCCTTCCGTCCTCGAGAAGATTCCTCAGGAACTCAGGGACACCAACCACACCCAAACCATTTCAGAGGTAAACGAATACACCAAAACCCTTGGCATCGAGTGGAACATCTCCGCCGACGGGTTCCGTCTCACTATCGCTTTCTCACAAGACACCACTATCACGAAGAGACGCATGGTCTCAGATGTAGCCAAGGTATTCGATGTCATGGGGTGGTTCTCTCCAGCCATCATAAAAATGAAGATTCTCCTGCAACGTCTATGGGAAATAAAACTCGACTGGGACGATCCGATCCCCGAACACATTTATCAAGACTGGTTCCAATGGAGAAACGAGCTACCTCTATTGATGACAGTCCGAATTCCTCGATGTTACTCGCCTTCAAAGGAAACCATCGTATCAACTCAATTGCATGGATTCAGCGACGCCTCGGAAGAAGCCTACGCTGGTGTCGTCTACCTGCGTATTGAATACTCTACTAAAAGAGTTCACACCTCTCTCGTTATCTCCAAAACGAAAGTTTACCCCATCAAGAGACTCTCTATACCAAGACTAGAGTTATGTGGAGCTCAAACTCTCACTAGGTTACTCCAACGTACAATGAAGATCCTCTAAGGTCCGTGTTTGCGTGGACAGATAGCACTGTCGTTCTGGGTTGGTTGTCCGGCAACCCAAGAAGATTCAACACATTCATTGGCAATCGAGTGTCCCTTATCATCGATCAATTACCTCCTGAAAGATGGAGGCACATTCCTGGTCCAGAGAACCCAGCAGATTGTGCGTCGAGGGGTTTGTTTCCATCCCAATTGAAGCAACACGAGCTCTGGTGGGATGGGCCTCCCTGGTTGAAGTCTGAATCGTCAATGTGGCCCGATCAGTTGAATTTGTCGTCCACAACTGTTCCCGAAGAAGAAAGAAATGTCTGTCATCTGGCGACTGCGACAACAGCTCAACTAATCATCCCATTCGATCGCTTCTCTACCTTTACCAAGCTGAAGCGGATCACGGCATGGGTGTTACGCTTCGTCAAGAACGCCTGTCCAAGTTCTACTTCTGAGAGTTGTCCTTACCTTACGGTCACCGAATTGATTTCTGCAGAAAATTAGTGGATCTCCATTGTTCAAGGAGAATGCTTCGCTGAGGAAATTGAGCTGCTGAAGACCGGAATGCCTCTCCCTAAAAATAATCGTTTTCTCCCACTGCAGCCTTTCCTAGACCAATCATTAGCCCTCCTACGAGTCGGTGGATGAATGAGTCACTCCAAGTTAGCCTACTCCAAAATGCACCCGGTTATCCTTCATGGATCCCACCCACTGACTAGACTCACCGTCAGGGGCGAACATGTACATCTGATGCACGCTGGTCCTACACTTTTGATGTCCTCTCTAAGCCGACGGTACCACATAACCAGTCTCCGCAAAATGGTGAGATCTGTCACCAGACAATGCATCACGTGCAGACGTCACACTGTTAAGCCGACTAGTCAGCTACTCGGTCAGTTACCCATTGAATGGGTTACCCCAGGATCCGTCTTCACAAGGGTTGGAGTTGACTATGCAGGACCCTTTCAAATCAAATATGGATATGTCAAGAAGCCGACCATTCTGAAAGCCTATATCTGTCTTTTCGTGTGTCTGGCAGTGAAAGCAGTTCATCTGGAGTTGGTGTCATATCTGACGACTGAAGCTTTCATTGCAGCATTGCGTACGTTCACAGCTCGACGCGGCCGCCCACAACTTATCTGGAGTGACCATGGAACTAATTTCGTGGGTGCCAATAGTGAGCTGAGGGAGTTGAACGTTTTTCTCAGTCATCAAATAACTCAAGATGCAATATCCGAATTCTGTTCTGCTCAGAGTATACGATGGAAGTACATTCGCCTCACTTTGGTGGGATATGGGAATCAGCTGTGAAAAGTGTCAAGAACCATTTATCTCTCCAGTAAAATTGACATTCGAAGAACTCTCAACGATTCTCATACAAGTGGAGGCATGTCTCAACAGCCGTCCATTGGTTCCGATCAATTCCCCAGACGACGGAATAGAAGTACTCACACCTGGCCACTTCTTGATCGGAAAACCATTCACCGCCCTATCAGATCCCAGATCCTCAGTTCTCCTATAAATCGATGTCTGTACTCCGTCGATGGCATCTTTGTCAGTGTCTGGTACGTCATTTCTGGCAGCGTTGGCAGAATGAGTACCTCTCAAGTATAAACGGATACAACAAGTGGAAACATCCGTCCAGAAACGTGGCGCCTGGTGATGTGGTCGTATTGCAGGAATCAGGAATTGCACCAACCAAGTGGCCCCTCGGTAGGGTGCTGGAGACACACCCAGGGCAGGATAATCTAGTGCGTGTGGTGACTGTCAAGACAACTCAAGGTGTATACACAAGACCGGTCAGCAAGATCGCGGTTCTGCTACCTATGGATTGACACTGTTGCTCTCGTTCATAGTACTATACGTCATACTCTAACTCATTGCTTGTGTTCGTGCTCATTAAGACCGTGTCGGTCTTGGACGGCGGTTTATGTTGGCGCTTAGACGTGTATCATCTCATCACTCGTCAATATAGTAAATTGTAAATTTTCGTATATTTAGAGAGACTATGGTGTTGTGTGTGTGAGCGCCTGCCGCTATCAAATCGGTGCGAATCCAGAGCTGGCTCGTTCATGTACGTACATAAAAATAAAAAACATGCACAGGGGAGGGTCTGGTAGTTGAGTTCTTGCCACAGCGGCTGGCATCAGTACAGAAAATACAAGCTTTCTGGCACCTTCAATTGCTACAAAATTAGCTGGAACATTACTTTTCTGAATGGTAGTGGACACAGGAAGATTAGGCTGCAAGAACTACAAGAGGAAAAATGCACCTCCAAGTGTACCACTCTCTGGAAGGGCATCTCTCCCTTGAAATAAACCACTCTCTGATAGTTCACCTCTCTCTGGTCTGAGGGGTTTGAGGTTAAAACTTTCTTTAGGTCAATCTTTACCCCCAGGCTTGTTTGTACGCACCCTTCATTCTTCATGTTTAGGCTTGCTTTTGCACCATAGGATGGACAAGTGCAATTAATAGATGATACACACTCTCTCTCTATCATCTCTCAATAAGGCACAACTAGGAAGCACTCATCTGTGCTCAGAAAATGCTTCCAGTTGGACCTTTGTGTAAAGTTAGATATAAAAGTGTATAAAACCCCTTTATGTAGAAAACCAAGTAGTAATCGTTGTTGAGGAATCCCAATCTGGTCACAAGCCCATTAACAATGTGGACTGTGAATAACTGGTGCTTTAGTGTAACCTCAGACGCCCTACTTGTACCAATTAGGTAACAACTGGTTTGCTCATCATCCCACTCTATACTTTTTGGGTTTGGTTGGCTCCAAGAAGTGATTTCATAGATAATGTTACTAATGTCGGGATGTTTGTAGTAGGTCATCTATAATGCGTAAAAGATAGTCTGACGTCTGGCTCATTAATATCAAAGTAAGCGGTTGAGATGAACCAGAAGAACCTAACATCTCCATCGGACAACAGTTTATTTGGCAAGTAAGGGTCGCAGAGCGTAGCTGTAGGAGATACTTCCTGAACTCGTTTTCAAGGCAAAAGAGAAGACGAAATGTTGTTTTCTTCACATGGCATAACACTCACGATCTAATAAGTCAGTCCAATCCACCATGTTACAAGGTTCTTCTATTTTCTCTCAACTTTTGGCAACACTGCATACAGCAGCACACCTAAGGGAATTGGCTTCAAACTCATCCATTTTAAGATGACAACTCGATTTCCTCCGCAAATCTTTTCCATAAATGTTTGCTCATTGCTCACCATTTCACAATTCTTACAGTGCATCAGAACCTCTTTTTGAGAAAAGCCTCATCCTTCAAAATATTGTCAATGGGCGATATATTTCTCACTTCAACCAACCTACTGTATTCACTTCCGGCGCAACACCAATAACACCCAGTTATGTAAGCTGGAATATCTTGGTTCAAGAGTTATGGCGTGAAAACCAAGTGATCAAGGCAATATGCAAATAAGCACAGACTTAACATGACCTGTCCGCCTGCTTTGCATACCTAGGATGCGCCAGAAGTTACAATCAGGGGAAAGTATGCAGTCCCACATGTTATCGACTAACGTAGCTAGCAAGTGTCGGACTCTCAACAAGCTACGAGAGACCAAGACAACAGCATAGCGCAGCCCATGAATTAGCGATACTAGCCCGCAAATGCATATGGGTGTAACACAGAGAGCAAGACAGACAAAAAAGAAACCATCGCTGTGCATACGTGTCGACGGTTAAATATAATAATGCATTTGACCTCAACTGGTGGAAGTGTTCCATCCCCAAGTTGTTGGGCATTAAGTTGCTTGAAAAGTGAGTGCAATGCCTGGAAAAAAAAACAATGAGAAGATTGGCAAGGACTAGATTTATGAAACTCACAACATCTGCATTCAGGGACAGCTTGATATCAGAAACTTTGATGCGAATGGCCACACTTCGCGTGTTCTTCATCACATTTCCAGCCAACTACAAAAAGAAAAAACAATTATACGCTTAAAAGACTATACCATTGCAGGAAAACACAATCAACCTACAGCTTTTAGATGTTAAAACACCATTGGAAGTAAGTAACCATTTTTTACAAAGTGAACAGGTTTTCCACCTAACAGAGTAAATGTAATTACTGTAAGATTGGGTCAAAATGGTTCTACTAAACCTCTAATCCCCTATACCCCTCGCCTGAACAGAGAGTCGATAAACATTAAGATTACTCATCAGTCCTCAAGGTTAGTGCTAAGACTTGGGACCGGTGCAAACTACATGGATGAGTGCACTAACATGCCATATTTCTGCAAGTGAATGCATAAATAATTAGTAGCACAGAATCAGCAACACTTATGGTCTTTGAAACTGCACAACACACATGCAGAACGTACAAACTACAGTGAACAAGTACCGCTAAATTATGTGCGCGCTAATAATTGTGCCGCAATGAAAATTCGCTTAAATAGAAATAAATGTTAGACATCAAAATTCATCGGAGTCATCTTCATTGCCCTCTTTCTACTGGCGCATAGTTACCTCGAATCAGCGTCTAACTATTTTAGAGTGAGCGCTTCACGTTGAGCGCTCTGGCTTTCCTGTTCGTTCGTATGGCAGTGCGCTTCTAACGATAAGTCGATGGAGACAGACTCAGAGCGCCAGAAAATGCAGTGAAAGAAGAGCGAAGCGGCAGAGACACGCGGTAGCGACCCGACCTTCTTTTTCTGGTTGTGCGAATGACGGTGTGCGCATGGGGGTCTGCGCGTGCGTGTAGACGACGCGTCAATGTAGATTCAGTTGTTGATCTTGTTGTTTACATGTACATTGTGCCCCGGGGGTAGCGCGTAGTTACCTTGAATCAGCGTCTAACTATTATTCAGTAATCCACTTGTACTCTCATGGTTTCTTAATACCAGGTGAGATGTGTATTGATTAGAGGAAGAGGGATACGTATTTAATGCCTGTATTAAGTAATATGACATCTTTGATTTGTGCAACTTCAGACTAAAACACATAGGCATTGGGCTTGCTTGCTAGTCACTGGGTGAGATTATTATCAATTGTCATCATCATACATTATTGTGCATACACTTATTTACATTATGGAGACACAAATCGCTAAAATTAGTATACGCCAAAAACACTCAGTGCAAAAACGCTAAAAATAGTACCCGCAATTAATAGTAACCTTAAGGTAAATAAAAAATTCTTCGAAATAAAAAATGTGGAATATAGGGATGCCATAAAAAGCAAGGAGACAAGACAGGGATGACCTAGTGAACGTGATGCAATAGTACAATGGATGATGAAACTTGGTGCACTGATGTAATGTGAATGGCGACAAAATGCCTGAGGCGATAGCTAATGTAAAATTTTTGTATGGGTTATGCCCAACTTATTGCACACCATGCATGTGACTGCAGAGGAAAGGACATACTTTGAACTGATGTCGCTTGCTTGTGTAAAATTTCCTCCACACAAGCCGTATATTGCCACGTGTGTGCTCCCTTGTATGATGCACAGCTACGATTAATTTCATAAGCACATTAGACAGGTAACACCATCTGCTCGGTTTTCAGTTGTGACTGCATTTTGTGAAGTCTAAGACTTATACATTTGCTCAACTAACCAGTTATACAATGCTGCGTTCTTGGCCATCTACATACAGAATCCTTTCACCATTGTCCTCGTACTTCACTAAAAGGTGGCGACAATATAGGGCTTGTGTGGAGGAAATTTTACACAAGCAAGCGATATCAGTTCAAAGTATGTCCTTTCCTTTGCAGTCACATGCATGGTGTGTAATAAAAGTTGGGTATAACCTATAAAAAAAAAGTAACATTAGTGGCCTTAAGCTATTGCCTCAGACATTTTGTCGTCATTCACATTACATCAGTGCACCAAGTTTCATTGTGAGAAGACCCATCATAATAAGCACGTTATAGGCACTGACACCATTTAAAATTCTTTTTTGCCTGTGGCTGTTTGTTGTTGTTTAGAAACTTGCAATATCTGTTTCGATGAACTCTCATCATGGTACATCAGTGTACCAAGTTTTATTGTTAGAGGACCAACCATAAGCAAGTTAGAGGCACAAACACCATTTACAAGTTTTTATTGCCCGAGGCTGTTTGTTGTTGTTTATAAACTTGTAGGTTCTGTTTCAATGAACTCTCATCATGGTACATAAGTGTACCAAGTTTCATTGTTAGAGGACCAACCATAAGCAAGTTATAGGCACAAACACATTTTACAAGTTTTTATTGCCCGAGGCTGTTTGTTGTTGTTTACAAACTTGTAGTTCTGTTTCGATGAACCCTCATCATGGTACATCAGTGTACCAAGTTTCATTGTTAGAGGACCAACCATAAGCAAGCTATAGGCACAAACACATTTTACCCAAGTTTTTATTGCCCGAGGCTGTTTGTTGTTGTTTACAAACTTGTAGTTCTGTTTCGATGAACCCTCATCATGGTACATCAGTGTACCAAGTTTCATTGTTAGAGGACCAACCATAAGCAAGCTATAGGCACAAACACATTTTACAAGTTTTTACTGCCTGAGGCTGTTTGTTGTTGTTTACAAACTTGTAATGTTTACATTTTGATGCTAAAGATGGGTTGCATGTGTGTACAAGGTTTTATCATTCTGGGTATTTGCTCTACCTAGTTAGCACACTTTGTATGGCCTGGGGCTATTTTGTTGTTATTAATTGTTGTTTACATGTCAACAAAATTGTTTACGAAGAAATTAAAATGCTCTTGCATGACCTGTCATGGATTCCAATCTTTGTGCAAAGTTTCATCTCCATTATCTTAAGTGGCTTTTGAGATATGCTTGTTGAAACTGAACGACAACAACAAGAAGACTTTTGAAAACTGACTTTTTAAATAAATCAACTACCGATTATGCAATTAAAGCCATTTCTTGGATACATGCTCTTTGTGACGATACGGATCAGTCTGATGTGTCAAAAGGTGGATCTGATTGAAACTGAAAGTGAAACATGAAAATCTCAAATGTATGGGCATAATGAAGGGTGACCTGTGTCATCCCAATATACTAAGTACTACCGTACTTAGTGATAGTGTCCCTTATTAAGAGGTTCCACGATAGGGAGGGTTGGGCACACCATAAGTAACTTCAATCAGTTACATGCTTTAACTCGGGCTGGCTGCATCATAAGTATGAATTAAGATTCGATGAAATGGGCATTGATGTTTTTTCTAGAAAAGCCCATGAGTTATAGTAAATTTAAGTTCAATTTTTCCAGCCTGCCATTAGCATTTATTCAGATGTCCTTCTCCATACATTGTCTATGGGAGAGAAAAGCAGTGCAGGACTTGACCGTGAATGAACGGCTCACCATAGTGGTGCTTTTTCCACCTCCTCGGTATGTGCAGGCAAATAAGAGCAGTGGCAAAGTTCTGAGCATCATCTATAATATTTCTTACCTTTGCAACTCATGGGCCATGCCCATGGGCTCTAATACGCTTGTATGTAGTGTACGTAGCTATCCATGCCAGGGCTTATGCACTTAACATAGTAATTCACTACACTACTAGCATGCAATTATAAGTACATGGAACCACTATATTACAAGAGCATTAATCACTTCAATGAGATGATGTCACTGACTATCAGTATTTCACAGCGGCATTACTCTAGTATAATTTTATTTACCTTCAAGATATCAGCAGCAATATAATCCAGTATGGCAGCAATGTAACGCACCATGTTGACTTCAACCACACACTTGAATACTTCCTAAAACATTTAAATGGTACAAAACACTGTAAAAACTATTTGATATCAACTTATAAACCTTTCACAATTCAAACAATGAAAGGCACTGAAGTGCAAACCCTCGGCGCACTGTGCTGTGCTGTGACGCGCACGCGTAAGTAAACGCATGCGCCATACCACTAATTGATGGGCTGGGTACTCGTGGTCTGTTGCCAGCTCGCGCAGAGTCTGACGCGGGCTAACTACACTACTAGATAGTATGCGAGAGGCGATACACGCCCTGCGTTGCATCTTCTGGTGCCTCCGAAGTACGCAGAGCACGCGGATCGATCCGACTGTGGTAAGCCATCCCGTCCGTTGTGTATTTGCATATTGGCTTTTTCGCGCTCTAGCTTTGCAACGGAGCAGTTTCAAAGAAAACCGTTCGAACTTTCTGACCTTCATTGCCCGTTAAGTAGGTCGTATCCTTTGTGAGACGAACAAACACCCGAGAAGTGAGATTGAGAGTCACACACACACAGACCCAAGTACTGTAACCCTCGCTGCGCATGCACGCCGAGGGTTAACAAGATTATGCTGCTAAAAAGGAGGCAAAGAATGCAACTAAAATTGTACAACCAAGCGGCTTGTCCATGCTATTGCAAATGTTATAGATACTGTGCCTATTTTAGTGTTACCTTCTCAAGTAGAGGGTTGAGTTTATCTACGGGGAGGTTAAAGACAGATTTTCCTTTGCGCAATTGATGCCGTTCCATAGTCCTTTGAGCGTCATTTATGGCCCAAGTATTAAGAGGAACAACGAAGGTCTTTGTAATGTAGGTTGCAACATCATTGATGGAGTGAGGTTTTGTACTGCAGATTAGAGCCAGCAAATGGTAGAGAAGGTCCTCCATGTACAGGACAGCATCATCTTCTATATCCATGCGAGGGTGCACCTGCTTTTGTATCTACATAATGGTGTTTTAAAAATCGTTAACAATCACTACATACAAACATGTATATATTATGTACTGTGGCAAGAGAATAATTGTGGCATGAACAATAATACCAGAAGTTAAATGTTGAAGAGCAGACACACACACAGAGAAAGAGTACTTTTAAGACTCCCTACACGTGCACACTGAGGGTTAATAAACCCGTGTGCTAGACTGCAGTATGGTGGGTTCGAATCTCAGACCTTCTTTTCTCAGTGGAAAAACTGCCCCAGTGTAATCAACTTGTTTGCTTTGCCTCTGCCTTGCTACCTCGTTATTGACACAGGCCTATAGAATTCTCCCTAGAGGGACAACATGGCTCCACAACAACTTAAAAGTATTGAAACTTTTAAAGTAAGGGATCTTAAGGAAAGGATGTTGGTGTAAATATTTTAAATGGACAATTTAGTACTACTGTGTATGACAAAAGGGATAGTTAACTTTCCCCGCAACAGTTTGGAAACTCAAGTGGCCCTGGCTACACTATTCCACTTCCTGTGAGGGCCTCTTTTAAACTTATCGTACTATTTTTATTCACATTTCAAGTTGTGAGGTTTCTATTCTACAATGGGCAGTTTCACCGTATGAAAGGCGTGGGTGAGTTGGGAGAGTTCATAGGTGGTAAAAGAATCCGTTATCCCACCATCCCTGGTTCTCAAGTCCAGGGCACCTACTGGCCTTGCTATGCTAGCTAGATCTCTAGCGATGCTGCCTTACATTTGTTATTAACCCTCGGCGCGCATGCGCAGCGAGGGTTATGGTACTTGGTCGGTGTGTCTGTGTGTCCATTCCCGTTTAGCGCAACAAGATCGCCAAAAGTCTACACCAACGGGTTCGGCACTACATTTGCTTGATGTTAAAACTGGCGATTTTCGTAAAAACACTACATTCAAAAGCTATGGTGTGAAAACCAAGTGAACAAGCCAATATGCAAATGAGCACAGGCTTACCTCGACAAGATATGTGCTTGCTCTGCGTAACCGAGGACGTGTATCGACTCCCACATGCTTTCTACTACCGTAGCTAGTCTGTGTCAGACTCTACGCGAGCTACTAGTGGAAGACCACAAGTAAATGCATACTACGCCCCAGCCCATCAATTAGCGGTATCGCGCAAGCGCAGTTAGCCGAGGGTTTGCACTTCAGTGCTTTTCATCTTGTATATGTCACTACTGCTGTTCTATAAAATTGCTACCCTTTTATTAACTTCATAATTTCATGAATCTGACACCTTTTGGTACATATTTTTCTACTCACAGTCCCTACGTCATTTGGCTATGTCTGTATAGTGTGCTACCACCATTGTGCATCAGTTCACGCCAGTCCCTTGAGTCCTTGTGTGAGCCTTAGTGTTATTTTATGTAGCCCCTCCTCCTCTCTCTTATTCTCTTTCTATGTTCATGTAAAAGTTGTAAGTATACTTGGTCGACTAGAATACTGCAGAAGTGTTATTAAAGCTGCTTACGGTGAAGAAACTCAGCTCGTACTCACATGCTCTATCAAATATTTCTAGTCGGAAAAAACTTTTTGAGCCAAATAATCATGTAAAAGTGGGAGGGAGCTGTTCAGTTTACACATAGAGATGAAACATGGGGATACATGGGTATTGGCATCACTTCCTTAATTGCATGTTAGTAAACACAACAAAGGCACTTTCTTTAATAATCACTTCATCACTCCTATGTCATGCTCATCACTCCTAAATTAATTTATGCTTACGGTTTCTCGGATAGAGATGAAACCTGGTGTGGACATGTGCATTCTATGCAACCTAAAAACAGCCTGAGGCAATAAATTTACTTCGTAAGCCATCAAACTTTATAAATGGAGATTAAACTTGGTGCACACATCATCATGCAGTTAAGTAATAAAGTAGTCAACTATTAATTTTACAGGGGCCCACTACCTTTCAAAGATATATTATGCAGTATAATGAGAGAAGACAACTGAAATTATACTGAAGTGGAGAAATATAGGGATGGTAACACAAGATTTGGATAGGTCAAGTACATCTGGCGAACTAAAAGTGGTTAACGGAAGGAGGAGTCTAGTGCAGCACGCATGCGCAGAAGGAGCAATGTCAAGCACACAGGCTATGGTATGGGCATGCAGAACACACCGCATGGCAAGGTGTCACTTACCAGAGACGGTCGTGTATTCGGACGCAGTTTCAACGCCCCAGCAGGAGGTGCAACTCCAGGCTACACATACTGGCTGAAGCTGCGATGCACCGTGCATTTGTAGGGTTACAGTGCATACCAGAGGAGTCCCGTTTACTGCACACAAGAGGGTCGTACAACCCCATAGCCACCATGCCACCAAAATTATGCAAGAAACTCCTCTCACTGGAGTTCTACACACTGCCCACACTGACGAAGGCACTACATTACCCGATTTATCGCCGCAAGATGCTAGTGAAGAAAGACTTGTCAGTTTTTAACTCGAGATTGTGTAGCAAGGACTTTACCAGTAGAGCCAAAGGCACCCGCACTCTCCACATTGTCATTGACCATACAGGAGCCGGCTATCTCCACCACCTGAACTCGCCAATTGTGGGCTTGTTCCAGGGGGCAGGGGGCAGCTCCAGTTCGGGCCCAAAACTTCGCAACTTTTCCTACTGCCAAAGTCAGCATCTGCCGAAATTTCAATAGAACCTACACCAGGTGCTGACTGTTTCAGGCCCAGCAACCAGTCTGACTGACTTGGTGGACACTACAGCCACCCAACTGTGTCTTCCGCAGTACAAGCTCCATCACTTTCAATCCCTCCTAGTCGAATGGGGTGACCAAAAGGTCTGCGGATAACAGGAACTTCAATCCCTGATTGGGACCCTAACCCAAACGTTCACAGTGACATTCACAAGAGGGCAGCACGTGCCTACATACACGCGTGGCAACGAGTCCCCTCAATGGCCTGCAGGTGACAGGTACGCGACATACAGGGACCCCAGCACTGTCTGGCTCCTCTATAGGTTAAAATAAGCTGACAAGAGTTGTAAACGGAAGGAGGAGCCTAGCATGGCTTGCATGCATGTGAGGAGCAATGCCAAGCAGATGGGCTCTGGTATGCGCATGTGGAACAAACCAGTGGTAAGATGCCTCTTTCCAGCTGGCTAGTGGAGAGGCAGTAGTGTAATCAGACCCAGTTTTCTATCCCACCAACCCCAGCCAGTACCTGGATTGATGTGGGTTCTTACTCGATCTCCATCAGGATGTTCTGACAAACTAGCGTGCTTAAAAGCGTTGGGGTGGACTCACCCCCATAATGATGGACTCATCCCCAAAGAAGTATGCGGTGGAGAGTGTCAATGCTCCCAGGAATTGGCAATGAATGTACATGAGGTCACATGACTGAGATGGGTGGCCCATGATCTACCACATGAACATCCCGACATCCACAAGAGGGCAGCACGTACCTACATATGTGTGTGTCAACCGGCTCTCTCAACAGCCTGCACTTTACAGGCATGTGATATACAGGGTCACCCCCAGCCTTGTCTGGCTCTTCCAAAGTGTAAATGGGCCGAGTATAATTCTGCTGTCCCCAGCAACAATTCCACTTGATGTGAGTCTTATGCAGCCATATAGCACTTTGTATCATGCGTACATTCATTATTGCCGTCACAATGGACAAAAATGTCAAACATGAGAGGGCATTGTTTAGGCATTATTATTACAGTACACACATAACTTCACCTTTCCAATGGCAGGCTGAAGGATACCTCTCCATTTACTCTGATTTTCTTTGCTGATGAAGTCATACACAACATTGGTTGCAGGAGATGCCATACCTACACAAGTGTGCAACAAAGTATTATCTCAAGTACAGTACTTAATTGGAAAGAGAAGCGAGCCTACCTAGTAATTTCAAAGCGAGAATTTTATTTGTTACCCTGCACGAGCACTGCACTACTGTAATGTTCTACGTAATCCAAAATACACGCAAAACATGAACGAAATATTGAACTGCTCAGCAAAAATGTGTGGCATCATTCTAGTATAGACCTAGCCTGCCAGCACCCTGGCCATAAATTTGTGAAATACAGCTTTCACTTTCAGTTATAAACTTCACTTGTTGTCAAGAACCCAGACCTACCCATTGCAACACAATTCACCCTCCTCTTCCATAACAGTAAAAATCGCTCTACCACCACCAAAATATCCCGGCTAAGAATGCATGCCCCCAGTCCTCCTAGTGAGATCTATGCTAAAAGAATTAGACCCCCAAGTTGAGCTATGCTAACAGTTCCCATCTCCTACACCCTATATGAATCCCTGTGTGTGTTTTGCCTCCCCATACATAGTTCACAAGAAGTATACATTTGCAGCTTTGTTATGACTAAACATTATGTGGATAAAAATGTGTAACATGCCTGCTTCTATGTTAAGAAATTCTGCATGGCAGAAGAACAGCTAATCACTGTATTAAATTCAGTGAGATCTGAACAATACTTTTTTAGTCATGAGCAGGAAAGCAAATAGCTACAGTGTACAGTATGTTTCCTTACTGCAGTGAACGAGGTGCACTTTCCAGTAAGCCACACCCTTCCAATGCAACCAAAACTTTATCACTAATTTGTTATTGTGAGGGTCAAGATGGCATGCCAAGGTCGGGCAGGTTTTCTTGGTTAAAATACATGTAGGTTGTGTGCTATCTTTAACCAGCACAACGAAGGTAAAAACACCTACGGCTTTTTGGAAGGCATACTGTTGGGCAGAATGCCTCGGGTTAATCTGTGGGAGTGATACAGAGAATGTGCATGTCTTTGGTGTCACATGATGAGAAAAAATGGGACATGTTTGATGCGGAAGAGAGGTAGCCATTCAGAGGCTCAGTTACTGCCAATAATTTGATGTGCAGGCTTATAGAACGAACAAAGCTCAGGAAGTTTCTTTCATAGACCTTAGGGTGTGTTCATATAAACAGATGGTCAATGCCAGGCGAAGATACAGTTGAAACTGAAACCCTGAAAACACCCAGAAGCTCTCAACAACAAACGAAGCTTGTGAATGTTATGGTGTACCTCAGTTTTGTGTGTTATTTTGTTCCTGCCTCAATTTGCAGTTTTCTGCGTGTTTTTGCCGTGCCGAACAGAGATCGAGCCATAACAGTCCTGATGACACATCCGTCACCTTTTTACGGGGTTATGAATAAAGCACTTAGGTTGAGCCACCACTGAAAAGTTGCCAGAATAGGCAGTGACCAGTGGTCATTGGTGATCGGTTACGAGGGAGCATTTTTAGCTCCAGGAAGTGTCCACCCAAAGTCTTCAGATGTTAGACAACTTTTTAAAAACTCCTGAAATCTTGCTATTCAATCCCTTAGCTATCAATTTCCGTGACAAGGTCTCAAATACCGAACTCACCATCATTATAAACCCACACCATGCCTCTTCACAGAGAGGATACCTAGCTATAACGACTGGGCGCCTAGCACTATCCGTTTGACACACACACACATACACACACATACAAGCACTTACTTCTCTCCCGCCGAAGAGGGCAGTACTCGGGCGCAACCCTCTGTCTCGCTCTATAATACCTACCCCTGGCAGTAGGCGTAGCTTCTATTAGTAAGGCGGGGCTCTGTGACCTGATGAGAGGAGGAGTGAGCGTGATGTCAGCTGAACAAGGGAGAAGCCACGGGAAGCCCCCGGGACACAATTCTCTACGTCCAAGGATGTGATGGAAGGTGTGATGGAAATGCCCTGAATGAAATTGAAGATGAAGGTATACTTATTATCGGTAGTGTCGAGGCCTACTACGTCCTTCTCCAAGTATTTGCAACATGTGAGCTTGTGACTTGGTAGTACACCGCCGAACACGTACTACTAGCCCCTAGTCTTAGCCCTAGCCCCCCTAGCCTTGTACTGGCCCGAACTCTGATGCCTAGGACACAATTTTGGCCCTAGAGCGTGGCTGCCGTAAGGCATGGCTTTCTAGCTCCAAAACATGGCTTTTGGCCTAGGACCTGGCTTTTTAAATGTTTTAAGGCCAACTACTGGTTTGTGTCCTATTGTGTATTGTGTTTATTTTTTGCACAGAAGTGCACAAATAGGAGACAAGGAGGACAAGGAAGAACAAGATGATGAGGAGAATGAGGTGATAGAGCAATGGAGTAACGATGATTATGATCTGGATGGTGTGGCACCTACCCCAAAGGGATGCAAGTTTGCTCAGGCTGAAGCTCTTCAAGTATATCTAGGCCCTGGGCTCTATCCTATGTTTCAAGGGATTTATCGTCCAGTGCAAAACCTTACCCAACATGATAACAATGCATTTCTTTTACTTTGGCCAGAGAGCTTGTTATGTAGAGAAAGATCCAGTACTTAATATGAAGAAGGGTAGGTACCATCAATGCCAATTCACAAAGACAGGATCCACGTCACATGTCCTTTGGCTGTGGCGTCTGCAGAGTGAGGCTGTGCAAGACCACCTGTTTTGCAGTTTCACAAGTGACATGGATCGGAATGTGGTGTATTCTGTGTCTGTTTTATGTTTAGTCACCTATTGTATACTGTATGGCAATGCATGCAAAAAGTGTTAAAATTCTGTACGTAGCATCTGATATAAAAACCACCCACACATCCTAAAAAGTGGTCAGTTGGCACTTGCATGTGCCAGTCGGAACTTTGATGTTCCCTTCCCCGCATTGAGGACCTCTTGGACCTGCTGGACCAGTGCAAGATATTCTCGTCAATAGACTTATAGCATCAGGCCTTTGGCAAATTCAAATGCATCCTAACTCTCGGGAGAAGACTGCATTTATTACGCCGCATGGCCTCTATGAGTCCAGACTTCACGCTGGAGACAGATGCATCTATCCTGGGGCTAGGTGCCAGGTTCAGCCAGATAACCAACTACACATCCAATTACATATGCAAACCGAGCACTACACCAGTGAGAAGCGATACGGAATTACAGAATCGGAGACACTCACTGGCTGTAGTTTGGGCTATATCCCACTTTCATCACTATTTGCATTGGAACAAAGTTACAGTTCTCACAGATCACACCGTGGTGAAAGCAGTGCTGGAGGCCGCCAATCCTTCAGCGAAACATGCCCGGTGGTGGACAAAGGTATATGGGAGAGGAGTGAGGAGTGTCAACATTAAATACCGCGCGGGAAGAGAGAAGGAGAACACTGATGCCCTGTGATGGTGGCCACACCTCTCAGCTCCAGAGGTTGGTATTGCAGAGGATGAAGTGCAAGTGTCGACTATAGCAACCAAGAAGGGCGAGGTTACAACAATGCCCAATTCAAGTTAAGCCCATCATCAGGAGTAATTGACACGAGCAAGAAATGTCAGTTTGAATATGTAACCATCATCCCATGTACTAATGCACTAAGTCATCCCTGTTTGTCTCCTTGCTTTTTATGGCATCCCTATATTTTAATTCGAAGAATTTTTTATTTACTTGTAGCTACTGTTATGGAGTACAAATGGAGTTTACGAGTGGCACACCAGGCAACAATATAGGGATTGTGTGATGGGGTCGGGGGTGTCAGCGTGCTCAAATCTGTTCATTAACCATGCTTCATGTATCCCATCCCTATCTTGTCTCCCTTCCATCCTTATAATTATTATGCTCCTTTTTCAAATTCGAAGATTTTTACTTGTACCATACTGAGTGATATAGAAAATTGGGGCCATTCGGACCACTAGGTTAACTCGCTCCCACTCGCCAATTACAGCTGTGTAAGTCATCACACACACTGGGTGAATAAGGAGTGCATACATAAGCACTCAACATGGTAAGTTCCGTTTATGTCATACATACAAGTATGAGTGTGTTGCCACAATGAGTCCCGAACCATGAAAAAGGTGACTGCATTCTGATTGCAGCGTATGTGTGTATGTGAAGCTGTCCGACAATCACAGCAGTTAGTTTGAAAACATAGACTGGTAAACCTTGTCACAGTAGACCATACCTCTACACAACAATGACAGACTCCATATTACAACATTGGTGTTAGTACAGTAAAACCATAAGAACATGTTGTACTTTATTATACAGTATAACAGCAGTTTAAAGGTGTGATGCAGCTAGAGTCTCAGGTTCTTCAAAAAGCTGTTCATTGTAAACATGATCAAGCCTGTAAAGAATTATAATAATTATTAACTGCATTGTGAAGTTTATGATATACTCATTCTTCCATTGTGTGAGAGAATGCAAGGACCCTTCGAAGATCAAACTGAAGACCCCTGAATATCACTGGTCAGGAGAGCTTGCCTGCAACGCTCTGCTCTGGCTTAGTAAAAAGACCGGTATCAGGCATTGGGTTTGGCCCCCAAAAATGGTCCCTCATTCTCTCCACTCTAGCAAGACTGAGCATGGATTCACATGATGACTAAGTGTGAAGCGTGAATTCTTTAGTTGGTAGAGATGTATGTATGTCACTTACTGTTTCAATCTCTTTTCCACTTGTCTTGACAGTAATTCCGTTTTTGATAAAATCATGTCACAATACTCTTTGTGTTCCTAAAGTGGGCAAATTATGATGTTAGTTGGAGCTAGTAGTGTTATAAGGAGGCCATTCGCTCCACTGTTGAAATGCCATTGGAGGAATCTACGGGGTTGGTTTTTGTTGCGTACGCTTAAAGCTGCTTCAGGATGCAAAGTACAGAGGCACTGATACCAGGGCCACAGATTAGCTGTGAGCTTCGCCATGCCTGGTTATTTGCTTGATCAGTGCCTGGTTACAACAGCTGACAGTCTCCAGTGGAGTATTTACAGGAGAATGACAATATTGTTTCTGAAGCAGAAGTTGAAGTTAGCAATATCCTACGTTTTTGCTTACAGGAATGAAAACTTTAGCTAGGTTATTTTGCTTTCTTGCTTCTGCCGAATCCCAAGCATTCCAACATCTTCAATAATTCTGTTATTAAAACATTCATAAGGCACGCTCCCTGAAGTTAGTACCGTCAACAAAGCACCTTGCCAGCTCCCACTCGATCGCCAGCGGTCATGACTTGGCACATTCTCTCAAAGTACGTATGTATACCATAGATACCCCTTAGTTGTTAGTAGAGATGTTTTAGGAAGTGGAACTCTCTGTGTAACTCCCTGGTCTTTTTCTACCAATTTTTTGTCATCTCATTTGGCATGGCAACCCCCCCTTATACGCATGTGAAGTCCACTTTGCATATACACAGGTGTATCTGTAAGCTTGACCCAGACAACAAATGTGTATATTCTAGCCAGAACACCAGGTAGTAGCATAGTACCTTCATTAAAATAACATACCTCCTCCATTTTCTGATCATTAGACCACTGTGTAGCCAGATTCTCTAATGATAAATAGCCAATGGGTTTACACATTTGTACTCAACTGTAGCAATCTGAGTTTTTTTAAAGGATGGTCGTACGTAGGGATCAAAGAGAGCCTACAAAATCAAAAATATACACCATGCACCTACGAAACAGCAATTTCCATGAGACGCTGAGATTGTGAATATTAATTGTGGGATAATGTGGCAGTTATTGTAGTAAGTGTGCCCCACCTCTGATCCTGCTGACTTCTACCATATCCATCTTAGGTCCTTTTTGGTGTTCTCTCATCCAAATGCACTCTAACTGGAGATCTTTGGCCATCTTAAGAATATAGTGTAACTAGAAGTGATTGTCATTAATCTTGTTTGAAAGGGTAGGCTGCTTTTACATGGATGTATGCATATAGAAGTGGCAAAGACTGCTAGACTCAGGGGAAATAGGAAGAAGACTTCAATTTAAAAAATTCTGCAAACTTAAGACGTGAATTTATAATTATAAATCCTGCGAATTAAAAAAATCCAGCGATCGTAGGAAAACGAAGGGAGACAAGATAAGAATGGGATACACGAAGACATCAGTGCGCTGAAAATCCCAACCTCATCATACGTACAATCCTTATGTTGTTGCCACTCCTAAACGCTATTTGGACTCTGTTAGTACTGCAACATTGTGTTTCAACTAGGCAACTATGGAGTTTACGAGTGGCACACCAGGCAACCATATAGGGATTGTGTGATGGGGTCGGGGTGTTCGCGTGCTCAAATCTGTTCTTTAACCATGCTTCATGTATCCCATCCCTATATTCTCTCCCTTTCCATCCCTATATTCCTCCTTTAGCAGGATATTTTTACTCCTCTCATTTTTATATACTACTACGTATTATTACTAGGAATGCGCACGCGCATATCTTGCCTCGCGCCTGCCAGCCAATGCGTGCATAAACAGTCCGCTTAGGCCACTCGTTCGCGCGCTCTACTGACTGCGCGACTTCCTACGAATCTGCGCGCGCGCACGGCGGAAGCTAGACTTGTTACGAATGACGGAAGTTGACATTCCTAAGCGTGACCAATTGACATTCCCTAAGCGTGACTAATTGACATTCCCCAAGCGTGACTAATTGACATTCTTAAGCGTGACCGACACGTACGTACGTACGCCATATCGCGAGAATACAACCCGGAGTAGTTGCCTCACGCTAACGCACTCGGCAATAAAAGGGAGCAAGCCCCAACAAAAATTATAGACCGCCTTGTTGAAAATTAACTTCCATGAAGACGATGTAATGAATATATGTACCATTAGTCAACAGGTTCGGAAGAAGTAATACTTTCCTATTATCGTGATGTACATTTCTACCAAGTCTCCATGCAAGTGACCGTTAGCAAAAACGTTAGGAGTGAAGAGGTGCTTTTTAGAGAAAAGGTATATACCATGCCCTTATATACCACCGGACTTAGTTTATTGATCTCACAGTCACTGTGCTTTCCTGACAATATCTTTCCCTATTGACATATGTAAGCAACAGCTATGGGTGGTTTACCTTACATATGCTGTGAAGAGAATGCGAGCAGCATAATGATAAAGCAGCACAAAATAATAAACTTACTGCAAGTTCTCAGTGACAATTGCTTGCAACTGCTGTTCAGTGCTTGCAATCTCAGCTTCAGTTAGCTTACTGTGTAGTGTTTGACGTTTCAAGTGATCTTTTGTTCGAGTTCTTTGATGGATTATTTCCATTCTCAGCATTTCCTAAGAAAGGTTATTTGACATTTGTGTGTCAGCCTTTTTCCACTGCTTTTCTCATGCAGTTCAGTGACCTGGCTAAAAAATGGACAGCTTAAACATAACATGGTGAATATAGGGATGATAGAAAAAGCAAAACGACAAGATATAATTACGTGCAAGGAAAGAGAACATCATATTGCCTTCAGTCTGGTATTTTATAAGGACTGCGACCATTGTGGAGGGTGGGTGCACCCACACACACTGTGCTCTGTATGGGCAACAAAACTGCATTTAGTCAGTTTGTTAGTGAGTTGTGTTCTCAAAGGAAGTGAAAACATTTTGTTGGGAGTTCTACATTTCACCAACACCACTTTTATTAAAAGAAATTTTGTAACTTCATGGATTGAATTCTACTATGTCAAGGAACAAGAGAAATCTTTTGGATATTTTAGGCATTGTTTTAATGCCTCATTCTTATCTAGTCATTTAGCGTACGAAGTTGCAAGGTATAGGTGCTGTGTTTTGTTGTCTAGAAAATTGTGTAATTTTTTTTCTTATCATAGTTTATTGTTACACGACTCAGCATAAGCAACTAATAGGCACAATATGGGGTGCTATTTGTTGTTGTTTACAAACAATTAACGTAGGTATATTTACTAGTTAGCACACTTATTTGGATATAATGTCGTTGTTGTTTGTTATTACATGTAAACAATGTTCTTTACAAACCAATTAATACACTCTTTCTTGTGCTTTAATGGATTCCACACTTCGTGCATATGTATTATCTTGTTGAAACTGAACAACAACGGGGAAAAAACAATAAATGACCAATTATGAAATTTAAGCCATTTCTTGGGGTACGTGAATCTACAGATCAGACTGAAGTGGGATATGATATAAAAATAACAGCCTGTACGTCATCCCCAAACACTAAGTACTACCACACTTAAAGATACAGGAGAATTGCGTTCGGAATGAGATTATGTGTGAGTACAGGCTTCTTCTTGTTTCCCTTGGTTGATTTTCAGCACTTTTTGATTGACTAATGATGCTCCATAGACAAACCTTTTTCTCTATTGTTTCTTTAAGTTGTTGGTGAAGGCGTTTCGCTGAATCTTGGAGTGTAGTTCTGTGATTCCTCATACCTACATAATAGTAAGAATTATTTTTCAATCATGCATGTTATGACAACAAAGTGAGGTAGAAAGGTAAAAGCAAAGCAAACAAGTCAACGTACACCCTACTCTTTTTTCCAAGGAAAGAAGAAGAGCTGCCCTAGGTGGGATGAACCCACGACACTCTGCTCTCTAGGAGAGCGCTCTATCAACTGAAGCTGGTAGGGGTTCAAATCCTCAACACAAAACAAAACAAAGGCAAACCTCAAAACTTTAACTCAGTATGTATATACAGAGCAGACAGGGGTAATTAAACTACCAAAGACACCAAACTCCAAACTGTGTATATGCATGTGAAAATAACAAGGTGAAATAGAAAGGCAAAGGCAAAGCAAACAAGTCAACTGCCAAGAAAGAAGAATGTGTTAAAGACACAGCATGGTGGTTTATCACCCCTCACTTATTATAGATTCTTTCTCCTCGTCATACACAATAAGTTTCCTTGAATGTTCATCTTCTAACCCAGAACATACTGACTGCAAAGAAAAAGTACCAGATCATCTACTATACTACCCCTCGGCACACATGCGCAGCGAGTCAGTCTGTCTGACTGTCAGCGCACTAAGGGGAACGAGGCGACCAATGAGCGACAGCAACGGCTTCGGAGCAAGAGAGCATAGTACTAGGTATCAAAATGAAACTTTGCCTGAAACAACTGTGTTCGAGAGTTGTGGCATGAAACACGAGTGAAAAAGCCAATATGCAAATAAGTAATGACTGGTGCTTGTCTATTAAACACACTGTGGAGCCACGAAGTTACTCTGAGGTCAAATATCTTATTAGCGTTGTTCAAAACGCTAGTGGCTGATGCTAGCCCGACAGGGACAAGAAACCGACATTGTCCGCAACCTCGCGGCATTGCCAAGCAGAATCAGCAGTCTAAGTTTTCGGTAAATCGCTGATCATGAAGCATGTCACCACAGTAAAAACAAGCCCATGCATGCAACATATTTGTGAGCAAATCCAAAGTGTTTATGTACGCAAGGCTGTTAAACCAAAAAAATGCTTTGATGTGGCCAGATCCTTTTCTTCTTTAGAAGGGGGTCTGGATATGACACTCCTAACCTCTAGAGCTTCTATTAGAAGAACTTTGTTTGAAACACTGTCTTCCAAAGTTTTTATATTTTCCTGCATAGGACACATAATAATTCTATTAAAAAAACACATGGTGTAGGTGAATTTTGTCCACACCTGAAGGGTCTGACTTTGCAGTTGAGCAGTGGTAACATATGATTGAAGTTGTGTTGTTGCTTCGGGCAATGTTGTTGATTTAGGACTTGGATGTGTTGCTCGGCTTTCTACATTCACTCTTTATTCAGAAATCTGTTACTATAATAAATGTAACAAAATGTGCACAGGGGTAGAAATTGTGTAGAAATAGACAAGAACACACAGTATTGTGCCCTTGTCTTCGTCCTAGAATGTTAGCGTAGGTACGCACATAACTTAGTTTTATGCCTGAAATATTTACACTCACACACACACCATCAGAATATTGACAAAGCTTGTGAGCTGATGTTCTACATATGTGGCTATTCTTTCTCATCTCTTCAGCTAGAGTTGCCACATTCTTTCTTCAAGCTCGCTTCCAAGGCTAGTTACTCTTGCCTTATCTGATCTGTATCTCTCAAACGCATTTTCTAGGAACGGTTAAACACAGCCCCACCACCAAATTCTAAAAATACAACATGTATCTTTGTGACACTTAACAAACCTAAACCTACCTTGTTGTGTTGTTTTTTTTCGGGTGGGAGGGAGAGGGTGGGGAGGGGGGTGTAGCCGGCGTGGGAGGGGGCGGGGACGTGTGTGGGAGTGGGACGGGGGAGGGAGGGGGTGCGCGCGGGTGACGGCAGGGGGATGGAACGGAGCGGCGGGCCAGTGGGAGTTGAGGAAATGACGTGGGAGGGGAAGAGGGGAGAGGGGAGGTGGAGGACGGACTCGCGTGGGACTTGCGGAGGGGGGGGCGGGGCGAGAGGGGGGGAGGCAGGGGGGACGATCCATGGGGGGAGCGGGGAGGGCGGGGGGCGGTTGATAGGAGCCGGGCGGAGTGATTGGGAGGAGAGTGTTTGTAGGTGTGGGTGTAGAGGCTTGGATGCGAGGAGTAGTGGTTAGTATTTAGTGTGGATTGTTGTTATTTCGTTTTATTTTTTGCGGATGATTTCTGTTTGTCTTTTCGTGTTTTCTTTCCTTTTTTTCTTATTTTTTCTTTTATTTGATTTTTCTGACTCATTCATGGCATCTCAATTCCGATCTGGTAACTGTCTTTTAACGAACTGTAAGTATGTGGCACATACATAAGCTGTGTTCACTATTACATGTAATGGTATTACAGGTGCACAGAAAAGTATAAAATGTGGGCAGTTGTATTATTTGCGTTCCTGTAACAGTGTTGAAGGTCACCAAAAATGTTCTATAGTAACAACGTGGCATTACAAACAGAAGATATTTGGCTGGAGGCTAAGGAGAAAGGAGTAAGATATAATTGTCTCGTAGGATACGTACAAAAGGTGGCAACATCCTAACATGGAGAGTTCGTTTTAGAAATTTTGTATTAAAGTAGGGTGTGTGTCAGAGATGGATGCATTAGTTAAAGTAGGCTGTACGTGATAATACAAAGGTACGAGAGGGCGTGGTCGAGAGGGCAAGTCATAAAGCACGAGGCAAAGCCGAGTGCTTACGGCCTATCGAGACCAGCTCGAGGACCTTTATGAATGTTACAGCACGTCTGTTAATTGAGTTTATGTACTGCACGCGATTCAAATGCAACGACCAAGGCACGAAGCTTGGTTCGATGGGCGGAGGTGTGTGAGTCTCTCTACGCGACGCAACGCGGACTCCTATAACGCTCTGCAAAGGCCAAGACAAGATACAACTGCTTATGACTCATAGGGGGGGGGGGGGGGGTAGGGTGGTCGGGCGGGCGGGGGGGGGGCGGGGGGGCGGGGGGTGGGGGGGGGGCGGGGAGGGGCGGTGGTGGTGGGGGGGGGGGGTGGGGGGGGGGGGGGGGGGGGGGGGGGGGGGGGGGGGGGGGGGGGGGGTGGGGGGTGGTGGGGGGGGGGGGGGGGGGGGGGGGGGGGGGGTTTTTTTGTGGCTTTGGGATTAACCAACCAAAACAAAAAAAAATAGAAAACAAAAACAAACCAACTAAGCCAGAAAGCTGCTGTTTACTAGGCCGTGCCGTTCCTCGCACGCATGGGTGGGAAAGCTAGCGCATGGCTATGCACCAAAGGGGGCCACCGCTAGCATAGCAGAGCCAGTTAGCTTACTCCTATCAGTTACATTACACTCTGGTACCCGTCTCTCCCTCGATTTGCCTGAAAAGCCCTGTTTGCAGTGTTTGTATGCCGCTTTTGAAAACGTGCTATATGAGCCAATATGAGCAAAAGTGTTCTTTTATGACGAAATACCAGCACTGGCGATGTTTTTACACGCAAAGTTACAACTAAAATAGAAAAATTCGAAAGGATTCTGTCTACAAAACTACTTACATAGAGGTTCACAGCATTCCTTCAGTTGGAGATCTAGATTTCGATTCTCAGTTTGAATTTCAGCCAATTTATCAGAACCATACGTATAGGCGACATGGTAGGGGGTGGAAGGGGCAAATCCTGTTTCATCCCCGAGGGAGGGAGATAAAAGGGGAATATGAAACAAGCCACAAAAGTTACATGTAAGCCTTTGGCGCAGAAATGGAAAAATGATCCGTGGAGCGATAGGAAGGCCTCGGAGTGAGATATGAGAACATCTAAGCAATTGGCTGTGGATTGGGGTGTATAGGCGACATGTTTTTTAATCAATACAGGAATTGCTGTGAAAAATGCTAAGCTATGAACCTAAATAAATGGCCAAAAATAAAACTTATATTAAAAGCAACGAGCAAAGCAACACTCGTAAAATCAGCTTACTCCCTTTTGTAAAGGAGCACCTATGTAAACATAGGCCAAAGGGTGGAAGTATGCTAACCCAAAATGAGCTGTAATATACCCTGTGCATGCATCACGTCCTAAGGAGTAATGTACAGATGAGAAGTGTAAGCATTGACCATGGACAGCTTTATACACAGGGTTGCATGTAGTTTAGGAATATTCACAGCCGTGATTAAAAACCCACAGTCGTGTCAACACAGGGCCTACTTTCATCTTACTGTCCCTCCATAACGGTTCATTTTAGGGCGTATAATCTTCCCCAACCCCTCACCGCACGTGTGTTTGTCTTTCCAGAATCCTTTTCGTCAACTTCGAGAGGAGGGTGTAGTTGATGACCTCAACGAAGCTAAAGAGACTCTGTCAAGAGCCCTCAGGGTGGCCACGACACCCCCGAACACTGTCCTTGAGGCAACAAAACGAGAAAAAGGGAAAAAATGAAAAGAAGGAATGATGAATAAGGAAGGAATAATGGTGAATAAAAATTGAAAAATGGAAATGAATAATTGAAAATGAAAAAATTGAACATTGCAAAAAATAAACAATGAAAATGAAAAAAATATGATAAAAAATGAAAATGATGAAATGACTGTGATCTGATTGTAAAAAATGAAAAAAAACAACGGAAATCGCTATTGTGGTTTTATTGTTTTAATTTTTTGGGTAAGCGGTTTTAGACAAAAGCGTTTTTTGATTTACTTTTACGATCCTTATGTAGTCAACATAGTATCTTGTTTACATGTCGCAGGTGCGAAAAGGACGAAATTAAGCAGAGCGGGACAGACAGGACGGTGTTAGGACAAACGAAGAACCATAAGGTACACCGTAAAATTCTAACGCATTGCACTGCTGTACGTGCTAGAAAGTTTGTAGTGGGGGTACATACATAAGTGTGTTGAGGGAATCTCGCGTGAGCTTTAAGAGAGGAAAAGAACAAAGCATTACATTGCAAAAATAGAAACGCGAATTCGGGCCCGGTTGAAAGCGTACTCGGATCAGACGTACTCCTTGGCCCGAAAAAGAGGGGAAGACGGCATGCAGTCCCGAGATCAAGCCCAGAAAATAAAAGAGTCCGCAAGCGGATGTAGTGCGCTAGACAGGTCGACTTCGTCACCGGCGGCCTGAAGGAGGCGGAGTTAGTTCGGAATGGGGAGCAAAGTCACCGCGTCATCGCCGCGTGCCAGCACGGATGTGGACCCAGGGCCTTTTCACCGCTTCCGGACGGAGATAGATTTGGGGACGTCGAGTCGATCCGGCGGCAAATGCCGGATCGCCAACAAGTGGGAGGGCCCTCTTCAGAACCGCCGGTGGAGGTTGAGGGCTGGCGCAGCGGTGGTAACAAGGATCAACGCTAGCTCTTGCATTTAAGGCCAACAATCCCCTGGTTCATTCAGTTCACTGGAAAGTTGTGGTCATCGCTATGCCTCGCATCATTATGCTAGATCAGAGTAGCTTCTCTAGTGAGCTACCCTACATTTGTATAGCAAGCACTGTTAATCTGCTATTCTTGATATTGGTTTCTTATAAATTGCCTAGTGCTATAGGCAATTAATCCAGGCTATAACGTGGATTACCTTTTTGTTGCAGTCGATTATTGATCCGGGCCAGATACAACTTACCTATTGCAGGCACCGTTCTGGGATTGACAGTTGGTGAGAAAAATCGACTAGGGGGGGAAAAAGGAGGTCTTTGAGGTACTAATAAAGGAGAAACCTAGGAGAACGAGGTGGAGAGGCGGAGGAGGAGCGATGTCGACCGTCCCAATTGAGGGAAGAGGGGGAAACGAGGAAAAGGGGAGCGGGGGGGGGAAAAACTGAGGACCCCCGAGGGGAAAAAAATAGGGGGGGAAAAGGCACGATATCAGAAGGGAGTAAAGGGCACGGAAGTGGTTTCTCAGGAGCGGAAGGCGGCATACGTATTTATATGTACCTCTTCTCCGAATATTCGGAGACAGCACTTTTGAGGTTTATCTTTCAATTCATCTCATTTAGCAGACGTGCTGGAATTGAGAAAAACTGTACTAATACTTAAGTTGCAAGCGTTAAAAAAGCACTAAAGGTCCGTGGAACGCGACATACACCACGCATCAGCGAGTCGACACCCCGGGAACGCCTACCAGCTGCGACGCGGACATGCAGTTCGCCTCGGAGTTAAGAATAAGAAGAAAACCCGGAAAGGAAGAAAGAGGGAAGATGCGGAAATAACCCGTGACCGGCATAGATCAAAACGCTCTCCGGACAACACTGTTTCGGATGCGGCCCGCAGACCCGTGCGAACGGAAACTGACACCTTCTTCCAGGGGTATACCGCTGATCGCTGCTACATGCCTCTCGACAATAGGCACAAGCTCATCTGCATGGCCCTTCGGTTAATGTGGGTCTCCTTGATTTGGCACAAGACCCGACACCGTTTCGAGGGGTAGGCCTGTTTCTAATTAAGCCATGTTGGGCTTTTCGCTCGAGGGGACAGCGTGATGGTATACACACGACCGAAAACTGGGGCAACCTGGAAAGCCGGCCGACCATGTTTTCAGAGAAAACCCTACATGATATTTTGACCTTTATCCGACGATGACGAAGCGTGATGTGACACAAACCTCCTGCGTCCGAGACGCCAGAGG